GGAGCACAGGGCTCGGCCTGAGGGGCGCCGGGTGCCGGCCGTGCCTGGAGGGGGAGCCAAGCCCCTGTGTGCAGCAGGGCCTGGCCTTGGCTGTCCCCGGCCTAGGCCTGCCCGGGCCTGGGCTCTAGCAGGACCTAGGCCTCAGGCCGAGGTGGGCTGGCGTGGGGCCGTCCCCTGGGCAGGGAGCACGCTGCCCCGCTCCCGGTTTCTCGCCTGAGGCGTTGAATGAAGCTGTTGCTATTTCTCGCTGTGTCCGAGGTGCTAGCTCTCCCCAGGCAGCTGGGGGATCATAGCCCGAGGGTCCTCCCAGGACCCTGCCAGGCTGCGCTCTGCCTCCCTCAGTCGGCCCAGCCACGGTGGAGGAGTTGCTCCTTCATTGCCTTGGTTGGCTCGTCCAGGGAGGTTTCCAGCTCTGCCTGTCATGGCACTGAGAGCTGTCCAAATTAAACCTCAGTGAGCTGTCCAACACTCTTCACACAGGCCCCTGATCTATCATCGCAGGGTAACTTTCTGCTACTATCTTTCCCGAGCTGGAGCTGATTCAAGCAAAAGTCTGTGCTCCAGTTCAGCCAGCTATCTCATTTCCCAGGGACGGCTTTTCTGGCTCGGGGACACATTATACTGAAGCGTGAGTCATGCTGCTTCAGTATTTTTCCCATGAAAAACCCTGAAAAGTGACTCCATCTTTGCCTCCTCATTTCTGGTGCCCAAATCGTTTGCATCCAATTTACAACTAGAAAGAGGATTTGCCTGTCTGGTGCTTTAAATGTCTTTTTAGATGGGAAAGGAAACTCAGGTCCTGTGTGGCTGCTACCCTTCCCCTCACCCTTTCCATGGAGTTTCCAAAATCGGTGACGTCTGCTGGTGAAGTTTCTGGTACGGCGGTTCACTGTGCGGGCCCTGCACCCTGCGCAAGGGAGGAGAACATCCCTCCTGTGTCCTGCAAAAACAGGGTTCAGATCTGTGGTTTGTGTTGCGTGACATTTGCCCAAATGTAGGAAATGGGACAAATTTCTGCGTATGCTGCGGTTTCAGAGCTCGGCTGCCCTGAAGGCTGCGTGTTGGCACTGAAGTGGGAGAGATCTTGCAGCAAATTCCTGCAGTTTTATTGAAAGTCTTACAACTTCATGATCTCAGAGCACTTGCAAGGCAGCCAAGAGAAATAAAAGTCATGCTAGTTGTTTGTGGTTTTTTTTTTTTTATTTTATTTTATTAATTCTCACCATTTCTAAGCTAGCCTCCTTTTGTTGTAAGGTTCGAGGGTGATGATACGCAATGCTATACGTCCCCTCTTCAAAATGACTCATTTATAAATCAATTAGCCAGTACTGCTGCTGACTTTGCTGCCAGGCACAGCTGTCAAACCAACCAGCTGTTTTTCCTGCCGGGGACCAGGCCTCACTCGAGGGGTTTCTGCACAATACCCGGCTCCTCCTCCCGCTGAATCCTTTTGTGTGCCGTTGCGCTGCGCCTGTGATGCTCCGTTTCCTCCCCACCTGCTCTCCCGGCAGCAATGGGTGCATTGTCTGAAGCCGCTCGGTTTCCCCAAGAAGGATCGCAGCCATCTGCAAACACAGAGGTCTCTGTGTCACCCTGCCCGAAATGTGGAGCAGCCAAGAAAAACAAGAAAAAAAAAAACAACAAAAAAAAAGCAAGCGCTTTTCCACTCTCTGCTTTATCGGTGCTTGCATAAATTTGTTCGTGGTTTGTTGAGTTCGCACTTAACCAACATCTGCTACCTGCTCAGCCGATTCCCTCCCGCACTGGCAGTGGGACCCCGAGGAGCTGTGCCGCGCTGATGGCACCCCAGGGCTACGTTTTGGAGGGGCTGAAGCTGTTTGCCACTTCAGAAAATGGGTTCTTAGAGCAGAGGTGACGTGCCTGGCCCTCCTCCTCGGCTCAGCCCCCTCCTGCCCCCTGGGACTCCCGTTACAGCAGTCACTCCTCTGGACTCGCCCCGAACACGCTGTTGCTTTGGGGCGATTATCCCCAAGCGTAGAAAATGAAAAGCCTGGGTATAAATTGTGTATGGACATGGACTCGCAGCGTTGTAGATTTGGGTGAAAAAAAGCTCTTTAAGGCCAGATTTGGGGGTTCATTTAGTCCCACAGGCTCCCCTGTTGTGTCACATCTCAGTTCGCACCTGATGCCGGGCTGCAAACCTGGCTCCTAACCCAGCTGGCAAGTGCTGCATCACACCTGGTATATCTCCCAGTTGGGGACCATCTATGTGATATTTAAGTATATTTAATATATACATTTAAGAAGTATCAATATGCCTGGAGGCCCCGTAGAAAGCTTTGAAAGAAAAACCCAGAAAGAATTCGACACAGGAGACATGATGGTTTGAGTGTTGCCAAAGGATTCCTTGGGAGACCAAAAGCCTTTGCACACGGGTAGTTTGAGGTTTGAACTTGGCTCCCGGAACGGCACGGTGCTTTTACCTTCTCCAGCCCAGTTAGGAGCCCCCAACCAACCATCACGCTCTCCCTCCTTCTCCCAGCCCTCCATCCCCAGGGCAGAGATGACAGAAGTCATTAACCCCCTCCCAAAATTATAAAATCTAGAAACCTTAACTCAAGAGCTGCAGAAGAGCCACTCTGAGCCGAGATGCTCAGCCCAGTTCTAACTGGGAGACCCCATTTCTGCCAACAGTGTGGAGAAGATGCAGCTCCCAGCTCAGCACTGGTTCAGTGTGCTTGGTCCCGCCGCAGGACAGTGGGTTTCCCAGTGCCTGCAGCATCCCAAGGAGAAGCAGATGGTGTGCTAGTGCCTCTTGCCTGGCTGGTGCCCAGCGCAGATCAACCACGCTGGCTTTCCCAGTAGGATACTGGTGAGCACACGTGACAGGATTGTTTCCTGCAGCATCTCAGCGTAGCTCCTTCTCCTGCGAGAAGTGGGACACGGCGCAGGAGCGAGAGAGCAGGCTGCAGAGCTGACGCAGCACCGACAACCTCCCTGAGCACCGGCGGCAACCTGCTCATCCCTGTGGGCACGGGCTCCAGCGGGGCCAAGGGGACGAGCCCCTCTGCCCACCCCACAGCCTGGCTCTCTGGGCAGGGTCTGCGGCAGCATTATTCTGCAAAATACTCCGAGTTTACCCAGTCCCAGCGTAAACCAGCCTCTCCCCATAACCCTTCACGAGGTGCTGCCCTCTCCCTCCCCAAATGCCCAGCCCCAGGGCAGCCCCAGAGCTCCCGGAACTTCTGCCTCCTCCTTTGTGTTTTCTGTTGCCCGTTACGTCCACCTCTCGACGGGACAAGCAGCAGCCACACCACGGGCAGATCTCTGTGCGGCAGGGCCAGGGTAAAGGCAGCGCGTGGCACCCACGGGGTCTGTAGAATCCTGGGGGTCACCCGGGCAGGGACACCACGCTTTGGGCTGCCTGTGACAGCGGGGCTTGCAAAGCCGCTTCTGCGCTTTCCGTTCACCCACGGCCAGCACATTCGTCCCCCTGCGCCACACGCTGCCGATAGCCCCGGCAGCACCGTAAAGCTGAGCCCCACGAATCCTCTTAGGTGGGTTTTACTGGAGTAATCACATTAAACCACCCCCTTTTCACCGGCACAAAACCAAAACGTAAAGGAGAAGGTGGTGAGGAGCTGACAAACCAGAGAGCTGAGCTCCTTAACGAATTAAGAGATATTAGAGATGGGATAGCCCCGATGGGATCTCAGTGCAAGACCAAGTCCGGGGCTTTTGTCCAAGCTCCGGGGAAGCTCTTCCCAGAGGATGGGCTGCGGAGGATGTCAGTGCCCCACACTGCCAGCCCCAAGTGCGCGGGGATGAGCCATGAGTCCCTCCTGGTGGGAGGTCAGTGAGGGATCCCGGAGCAACCTGCCAGGGGAAGCAGAAAACCAGAGTCAAACAGAAACTTTCCTACCGATCGAACTGAAAACGTCATTACTATTTTATTATTGCCATGAAACTTCAAGTTTTATCCTCAAAATATGGCAGTTGAAAAAAACATGCTAGGAGGAGAGGCTTTTCACCATCAAGGCACGTGTTTTCACTATCTCTTCCCCCGAAACAATGTGTTCCCAGGACTGACACTTTCCCCACAAAGCTGGAAATTTGCTTTGATGAAATAGCCTTCCCTACCAAGATATTTTCAGCTAGTTTTTCTAAATATTACTCATAAAGGCCCCCTCCAGACAACCTCTCTCCCTCCCTGAGTTTGTTTATATGCTTTGAATTCTGTTAGGAAACCATCTCCCTACTTCAGCGATGTTTTATCCAAGTTTCCATATTTAGTTCTTTCAGCTATTCCTGCTCCTTAACCAGCTTTCCCGTGCACGACGTCGGGACCCGCCGCATCCCGGCTCTCCCCGACATCCCCTTCCCCTCCAGCAGCTGCTGCAGGGGAATTTTCCTGCCACCCTCCCTGCATGGATGGATACCTGTTGAGCACCGTACCTGCCAACCCACCCCGGGGCCAGTCCCAAATCACGCCCCAGGCCCTGACCCCGAGACGGGGAACCCAGCAGAGGCATTGCCTGGGAGGGCTGGGTGGTTCCCCGCAGCCTGGGATACTGGTGGCAGCCCCGGGACCCCCGGGATGGCGAGGATGGGGAGCCCACCCAGTTGGAAATCCAAGCTCGGTGTTATTTTAGGGAGGGACAGAGTTAAAGTCGGCGAAGGAGGGTTTCCTCCCGGCACGTGGCTCCGTGTCAGCCGCGGTGTGCAGCCTGCAGAGGAAACGCAGGGAAAGCACTGGAGGAATTTACCATGAGTAAAAAGAGGCACTGCTTAGAGAGAAATTAGCGTTTGGTATTCAGGGAGCCAAGGTGAGTCCAAGGGCAGCACGGGAACCAGGGCTGCTTCTCCACTCAAACTTTCTCCTTCAGAAGGAACCAGGGCACAAGAAGTGCCCCCCTCAGTCCCTGTCTCCCCGGGAGGGCCACACTCGCTCTCTGGCAGTAGCCAAAAGGCTGGGAGCACGAGGAGGCGGCGGGGATCGGAGCCGGGAGGTTTATGTGTTCCCGAAGGAGCAGGCACCGCGGCCACCCAGGCTGAGCAGGGACCGGCTGGCAGCACTTCAGGTTTGGCTGGAGGCTCCCGTGGTGCCATGGTCAGCCCTGGGGGTCTGGCTGATGGGTGTGGGGTCTGGCTGGTGACTCGTGGGGTCCAGGTGGCAACTCTTGGGGTCTGGGTGATAGCAGTGGGGTCTGGCCGGTAGCTCTTGGGGTCCAGCTGGTGGGAGAAGGGTCAGGTTGGCAGCTCTTGGAGTCCAGCTGATGGGTGTAGGGTCTGGCTAGCACATGTAGGGTCCAGCTAGTGGTTCTTGGGGTCCAGTTGATGGGCGTAGGGTCTGACTGGCAGGTGTAGAGTCCTACTTGAGTCTCTTAGGGTCCAGTTGATGGGTATAGGGTCCAGCTGGTGACTCTTGGCTTCTGACTGGCATGTGTACGGTCCTGCTTGAGGCTCTTGGGATCCGGTTGGCATATGTAGGGGCTAACTGGTGGCTCCTGGTGTCCGGTTGATGGGTGTAGGGTCCAGCTGGTGTCTCTTGGAGTCTGGCTGGCAGGCGTAGGGTCCGATTGACGGGTGTAGGGTCCAGCTGGATGCTCACAGGGTCCAGCTGGCAGGAGAAGGGTGCAGCCAGCAGCCCTTAGGATCTCACTTGCTGGGTGTAGGGTCCGGCCGGTGGCTTTTGGGGTGCAGCTGGCAGCACGCAGCTTCTGGGAGC